GAAGCGACGAAAAAAGGTAAGGCACGGGCGTTTAGCACAAAGGGGGTGCGCACGCCTCAGGCACGCTGAAACCCAACATGTAGTGGAGTCGACACACCAAACGCCTCATTACTTTTTTTTTAACCGAACTATGCCGTCTAAAACACCTGTACCAGTAGTAAGGAAAAGTTGTAGTAAGCCCGGTGTAGACGTTTTTGTATGTATGTATGTGTGTGTGTGTGTGTGTGTGTGTGTGTACAGGGCTGTTCGGTTTCAAAAAATGGGGGGTACTCGGACATTAAGGGAGGACGGGGGTGTCCTGACTTGTCATGTGTAGTGTGTACCCGCCGACCCGTGTTTCGGTTCATTTTGTGAGGCATAACAATCGCAGCCCGCCCATTTATTACGTATGTACTCTGTACAAGCGAGTTTGTATGCCATGCGGTTCAAACATGATACAACAAGTGTCGTTCGAGAAGGGGAGGTGTTTTCCTTTACGTCGGTTGTGGTTTGCGCATCATACTTTGTGGCCGTCAGGTTTCTTGCTCCGTTGTTGCCTTAGCGCTTACAGGGCGGCATGAGTTTGCAGCGGCGCTGGTCTCACAGAGACCTTTCTCTTTTTCTGAATTCATATGTATGACCGTTGCCTGTCTAGGCTTGCTACTTGCTCTGTGTCGGCTTTGGCAAGTGCAATGACGCCGACGGGCTCGTTGGGACTAACGTCGCCTATACGCACCGGCAAGTCACGTAGCAGGGCTGCGCGTTGCAGGCCGTGGAGCGTAGTTCCTCCTGTTGGTGTCGGAACATATGGATTCAGAATTGTTAGAGAAGAGGCGTAGCCAATGATGTCTGGGGCGATGGTGATGTATTTGAGGACAAGGCCAGTGTACGCCGCCACTAATAGGATACACGAGCATACCATGAGCGCTGTGAACCACTTCCAATTTGTCTTGTACATTGGCTTTGTCTTTGTGACTGTGGATGCTTCCGACACCACAAATTCCGCGTCAGAGGCAGGCGTTGCGCCTCTGAGCATTCCCGTTTCTACTACAGAATCGGGTAAATTGCCGGCCAGAGAGGGGGTTCCGTATGTCGACTGCCAGTAAGTGTTGTATCCGATTGTCAGTCGATCTCCAAAGAGCTGTGGCGACAGCTCATACAGGTTCACGTTGTTGTACAGTACGCCAATGAATTGCGAAGGGTCTCTCATCCATCTTTCCATGTTGGTGGAGCCTCGAGCTACTCTGCTTGCCATGTTATAGTTATCCAGCGAAGTCATTTGGGAGAGTTGAATGACGGCGAATTGATTGCGCATGGTTGTATCGAAGCCTATTGGGTAATCATCGTCCAGTAATGGAATTTTCCTCATTTTCTGTACAGCACATGCCCGCCCGGTGCATTGTACTTGCGCCTCGAAATTCTCAAATGTCAGATTGCACGCGGCTACTGAGAAGAAATAGGGATCTTCGTTGGCTAGCGATAGGCTACGGATGGGACAAGGATAACCGCTGCACTTTGAGGTGTTGCATCGTGTTTGGTTTTGGCACACTGGCGTCTTAGGATCGGTATAAGAAAGTTGCCATGTGTATTGGTTCACGAAGTCTGTCTGATTGTCGTTGGTGCCTTTGTTGCTCGAACAGGTTATATCCCATTGACGGGCTTTGATATTAAAAGTGCTGACTCCATCCGTAGGTAGACCGACAACCGGAATGCCTATAAGAGAAGCGTATGTGATGTTGTTGCCGGTCGGGTTCCAGATGGTTTTCCATTCATCCGAGGTGCTGTTCTCAATATGCCGGTATAGAGGAAGTTTAACGTTTCCCCTAGAGAATTTCTTGTTAGTCTATTCGGATATAGAGTGGTATGTAACATATTCAGTTACCAAAACTACTTACCACAAGTCCACGGGCGTGTTCTTAACCTTGGAACTACTGAGTAGAGCTGCAAGGCAAATGGCGGTGAAGCCACTCCGACCGCTATTGACGGAGCTAGCGCCAGTTAATATGCTTTTCATTACTGACATCGGGCTCAAATAGCGAATTTGAAGAGTAGAATAGATTTCGCCGCTTTCTTGGTCGAGCAGACGCAGTGCTGATTGACCTCCGACTGGTGAGAGAAGCCAGATTAGAATTGATGCTATTCCGATAATGGACCACGAACGGAGAGAGATTTGTCGCTCAAGTGCAGAGAAAACGGATTGACAGCCGATCAGCTGCTCAAGACGACCGAGGGTTGTCCCTCGTTGCGCCAGCCAGAGACCAAAATAGCGAAAGAACCTTCCCATCAAGGCTGCGAAGAGAAGGGGAAAGATGGTGGGCGATATGAGTAATGTCTCTTTCAGATTGGATCCATAGTCCGAGGTCTCTGTCCCGTCCAGCCTGGCAGCTATGAGGGCAAGAGCTATGCCAAATCAACGTGTAATCGAAGAAACCAAACAACGTAGAACCTACCAATAAACATGATAGGCGTGGACGCTAGAATAAGGTCAAAAAACATGGCGGTTCCACGCGACGGCGTAATCTGTGCCAGTTTCTGCGACTGCAAAGGCCACTGCTCTGATATTGATTCACTAGACCATGTTGCACCTTTGACATCTTTGGCGCGATCTCCTAGTCCACGGTGCACTGAACCCGTCGCTGAAGGGTTGTTAATATATGAGCCGGAGTCGTACTGCATTCTCGTGTCAAGGTCGTCACTGATTGATATCCGCGAGCCGTCGGTACGGCCAACTGGTTCGTAAGCCATTTTTTTGCCAGTGTAACTAGGCAAGGTCGACGACGTGAAGCTCCAAAAGATGGCAGGGGAGGAGGAACAAGAAGTACAGGAGGAAAGTATCCACTACAAGTACCTCGCAAGACAAAAATTACTCAAGGTATACATGTCTAAGGCGTCCAGTCTTGCATGCTATTCTGGCCCCATTCCGTAACGTCGCGCAAGGCGAGACCCGCATTTTGCACTACGCCACGTACTCAAGCACCAGTATGCGGAAGATTAGCGGGAGGATTGCAGCGTTTACTTGGCAGCGCGGCAAAGCTTGCAATTACTAGTATTGATTGGCATCAAAAAAGTTGCACATGCTGCAGCTGTGCAGGCTGCCACGGGCTGTGAAGTATTAAGAGTGGGGATCAGTGTGGTTTGCCTGGCGTTTTTGCCGCCCGGGTAGTATTAGCGTGTGGCCTAGAAATAGGTCCAACCAGGATGTGAAGTCTGATCAAATGAAACGAGCAGCGCCTGCAAATTGTTATCCAGCCTCGATTCGAGCACCAGCCTCTGCAGCTCAATTGACTGCATAGCGCGCCATGTTGCGAGCTGCTTACCCTCGATATCCCCGCACGTGTCTCCCTAGGCCAGCATGCGGATTACAGCAGTACTGTGGGCGGCGAAGGCCCGCACAGCGACTCCCATTCCACGGCGGATGCAGTGGGATCAGGTCAGAAAACTGTTGGGTCTCTCGGATAAGCAATGGCCCATATTCCTGGTATGCATATCCTCTGACCTGGGACGCCTTGCCATGGCTCCATGCATCACGTGCCGTCGAGGTTCAAGACTAACCAGCCTCCAGCGCGTCTCCCTAGCAGTCTGCCAAGACCATGCAGGCGCCAAACTGAGCGACATCAGTCCGCCCCAAAAAGAAGAAATGATGGGCAGAATAAGGTCTGCAATTCACGAAGAAGGACTTCCACCACTCGACGATGAAGCAATCGAATGGCGGATATCCAAATGCCTACCCGAACTCCGAGTAAAGAAGCGAGGTAAGCTCAGCCACAGCCCTACAACACAGCTCCCCCCAACGCTTATCCTAACTCTTGTCTAGATATAGAACACTGCCACAGCTGGGAGGCGACCACCGAGACAAGATTCCCGCGCCAGCTTCTCCGTGAGGCGGTGCTCGCGCATATCGACAAGATACCCACCAAGAACTTGTGTTACTGGACGCAAATCCCCCAGGACGTGCGTCAAGATGTTGTGGAAGAAGCTAACCGTAGACTAGCTGAGAAGGGAATGCCAGTCGTGGATGAAGCAGCGCTTTTGTATCGATTACGAAAGTATATGAATCATTGGATTAAGAGCGGATGTAAGTTTCATCCTTGATCGACCGCTAGAAATTTTATGGACCGAAAAAAACTAACCAAATCACAGTGGTGCGAGATACGAAAGAAAGCAAACAACGTAATGTCAAGACCGGGTAGTCAACAAGCTATCATAACGCCCATACACGAAAGTCGCGCTCTTTGCCTCCAACTTCTTCACGCCCATCAACTCCCTTCACCCTTTACTCCCATGCACTCACTGCCACCAATCCCAACCTACCCACCGACCACCCAACATCCCAGCTGCACCACGCAAACATTCCATGCGATGTAATCTGACCGGCCCTTTTTCTTTATCTACACACTACTCTTGGTAAAGCCATGCGCATACCGCACCTCATCGCACACAATGTAGAAAGCGGGTGGAAGCAATGCGATGGCACGTGGATGGTGCAAGGGTAATAAATGGGGGGGGGGGGGGGGAAGCTGTGGCGAGTTGGAGGCATGTACCATGGATGGACTGTTAAGTTTTTGGGTGTGGATGGGTATGCGAGCGAGCGATATGAATGCGATCCCTACTAGCACATGTCGATATCGAATTGGTTGGGAAAGTAATGCAAATGAGGGAATAGATTTCGGGGTATGAAAAGGGTTGGTTGGTTGGTTAGTTACTACATGGAATTTGCCTTGAGCATCTGTGTGCGAGTAGGGATTGGTCATTGCAGAAACAACAGTAGTAGACGTGAGTTTGCATGCTGGTAAATACACTAGTACATAGCACGCGTTCGCCTCAACTTGGACAGACGTCACACATCATTCGCAATCAAAACATGTCAACCACAGCACTAAAAGTAAACAAAAAACTCAATGCAAAAGCCCACTTAAACTTTGTATTAAAATTAGGACACATGCTGCACATGTCTCATTACATTAACATTCATGGTAAATCATTCCCTAGGTCCAAAAGAAAAAAAAAGCTTTTACAACTTTTTACTTGGTAGTAGAGAAGACATAGGCAGCCTCAAGAGTATAAGGAGCGCTATCGGGACCAAAGATTTGGTACTTCTCGCGCTGCCACTCGGGCTGGTTGATGGCATCGATCCAGTCCTGGACTTCCATGACGACGCAGCCGTACTTGGGGACAAAACGGCTGCCGCCCTCGGCGCCTTGGGTAGACTTGATGGGAAGAGTACCTGAAGTCTTGTTAGTATGCAAAGAAATATGATGGAGAAGGATACGTGGACTTACCATCTTGACCGGGGCAGCTGTACATCTGGAAAGCGGGTTGGTCGGAGTAGATGTCGAGCTTGATGCCGGACCACTCGCTAGCCAACGAAGCAACGGGGCCAGAATTGCGCCAGTCGAGAGCCTCGGCGGGGCTGCGGTTGACGAGGTAGCAGTTGTCGTAACCGGTGCAGTTGAAACCGCAGTTACCGAGAAGCTCGGGAGCGGTTTGGTTGGCGCCAATCTGCTTGGGAGCAGACCAGAAGTCGTTGACAGAGTACTTCTCGTTGGGCAGAATGGTGCCGTCGGGAATGAGGATGTTGTCAACACCAACACGCTGGCCAGAGTAAGGGATATGGAAAGTGTGGTTGAAAATGGTCGAATCCTCAGGGTTGGCGAAACCGTCCAAGTTCCAGTAGGTCTATGTTTATCTTTTGTTAGCAGTCATTCGAAAACAAGATTTAATAAATTCAACTTACGTGAGAGGTCAGCATAATGGGGGTCTTCTTGGTGGTAGCAATGGCGACAATCTTGAAGCGCCAAGTGTGTGGGGTCACGGTGTAGGTAACGTAGCTGATGACCTCACCGGGGAAGCCCTCCTTGCCATCGGGATCGACAATGGAAAAAGTAATAGAGTCCTTGGTATGGGCGACAACAGTAAAGTTGCGCCAGTCCCATCCATCCTTTCCACCGTGCAGGGTGTCTGCGCCATTGTTCTCGTTTGGCGTAATGTGGTAGTCCTGGCCGTCAATGGTGAAGGTCGAGTTCTTGATGCGGTTGGCGTAACGGCCGGGTACACCGCCAAGATGGGGGTGGACGGGGCCCTCGTAGGCGGTGGCATTGTCGAAGCCGAGGACAATGTCAAGCTCTTCACCGTTCTTGCCCGGGATGAACAAGTTGGTAATGGAGGCGCCATAGGGAATGAAGAGAGCGCGAATGCCCTCGGACGAGATCTCGTACTTGCCATCCTTGTCAGGGCCCGAAGTCCAAGACGAGTTGGCCGAGGGTGCGGTGCTGTACTGCGCAAGGGCAGTTGCAGCAAAGAGGGGAAGAGTCGACAAGAACCGCATCGTGACTAGTCAAACTCGAGCGAGTTGAGAAGTGGAGTTGATGTGATGTGGTGTGGGGACGGAGACAATCTCCAGGACGGAGGCGTGTACATGTTTATATAGTAGTAACGGGGTCGACTACTACTGGCGCGATTTGGGCGGTCACGAGCTTGAAATTAGGATTCTCTCCCGCTCACTCACTTCCCCGGCCTCTAGGCAAAAGCACCAACGGGATTGTACTGGGTTAGGGCGGGCCACTGCTCAAGGATACTTACTGGTAGTGCTATTAGCGAACGTGCGTTTCCCCGCAGGAAAAATGTCCGTGGCAGGCCTCCAGGAACCCGACCACCTATGACGAGATGAGGTTGCACAGCGTTGCAATTTCTTGACACGACGCTGCCCAGTCTCATTGAGCCCAGAAATCGCCTCTTGACGACGGTGTTTGTCCTCAATTGCAGCATGTTTGCGCGGTATCCCCAAGGGCGCGTCGTGTGTAGGTCGATTGCTGTGCTGCAAGCCGCGGGCGTCATAGCTCCAACAACCGCTTCTGTATAATCTCTCATGACAAGGATCAGCAAGCACAAAAGGCACCGGCAAAAGTCACCATTGGTGGACAGTCGCGGAAAAACTTAGACGCGTGCATCTTGACAGGAAGCGGAACATGGGGAGAGCTGGGTTAATCTTGTGGGGAATTGTTGGGGCCCCAGGCCTTGCCGCACCCCATGTCGTTGAGCTTACTACCCGGCTACCCAGAAGCTTGACCACGCCACTACAGTTAGTACCCAACGGCGGGATGGCATACTACAAACAGGAATAATGCCGCAATACCACCACCACCACCTCTTGCACCCAAGCATACACATCTTCATCTTGTAGCATCCGAGCCAGACTGAGATGATTTGATTTGGTATTGTTGTAACACTCGCTAAATATACAAGTTCAGCCCCGGATTCTCCCTGTAGTAGTAGTAGTCGTTTTCAAAAGTGGAATTAGCCACGCCGCCTACCACAGGCAGTGACAGTACATGAACAATAACCTCCTTGATGTACATCTATCTGTAGTCGTGCACTAGTCTCATCTGCGGGACCGCCTACCCGGAAACAAATCGCTTCATACATGTCGGCCCTTCCACATAGTACACTTCCAGCTCCCCGGTGACGGTCAAGCGCCCTACATTGGTCGGCTCCATGCGTACGGGTCAGGACACTGGGGCTCCACGGGCGCGGGGCTGCTGTATGCACCCTCCATCATGCTTAACTGATCGTCGATCCAGTTGCCTGCAGGACATGGGTACATCTGCCGAGTATGCGACTGAGGCCTTTCATAAAACGGCAGTGCAACCTCTACAGACACATGGTATCCCCTCAACGGATACATCATACTCGGTTGGAGCGTCGTATATGGGTGCGGGTATCCACTAGCCGCCGCTTCTTCATCGTGGCCCCACACTGTGTTCTGCCAGTACACTACGTACTGTCTCGTATCTTCCACGCCGGCAGCCTGCTCATCGATATGACTAATGACAGAGTCGATACATCCCTGCGTGTTCCGTGCATCGATTTCAGAGACGGCGTTCACCGCACTCAATAGCGTATCGAAACTGGATCGGTTGGGTAGCCGATGTGAGTGATACAGTCCACAGTCTTGAGAGACCTCTTGATAATCTTCGTGCAGATTAGCAGAACGCGCAACGGTTTCAGGCTGTTCCTCATCGACGGGCGTCATGTGAGGCGTTGCTCGAGACTCGTCTTTTTCCATCGCCGCCGGGGTTGTCCTTGCATGACCAGACACTTTCATCCCTTCCGTACAGCTCGGATGCTCGTCCCAGCTCACATTTGGCTTTCCGTGCTTCGCCCAACAACCTGTAGTCGTCTCCAAATCATTGAGCACGTTTCCCCAATGATGTTTCTTGACCTTTGATCTAGTGCCGAAACCTCTACCGCATAGGCCATGAATGAATGGTTTCGATCCGCTCTCAGCTTGTGCACGCTTTGCTTTGGAAGTGCTCTCGGACTGGCGCTTAGCGACTGGTTGACCCGTATCTGCGGTTGAAAAGCAGACCTGGTCAGCCGTGTCAGAGCTCGCTCGGTCTATTGCCTCTTGCACAGCTTGTTCTTCAAAAGCTTCGCGGCGACGCTTGTGCGAAGGCGGCGGCATATCGTGGACGGTCTGGGCAACATCGACTGTCACTGGAACACCGAGAGCAGGAATTGTAGTTGTCTCGGATGACGCTCTCTCCAGAGACCCTGCTCGGGGCGTATGGCTTTGGTGGGGACGAGCAGGAATGTCAAAGCAAGGGACCGGTGGAGGTTTTGTATGGTTGACCTCCAGTTTGGGTGCGATGGGAGGCCAATTCCGGTCATGGCCAGAACTGATCGACTGGTAGATCTGTCTGTTCTCGAACCATGTCATTGGCGGTAGGCGAATCTGGGGTTGATAAACCGGTTGTAAGAAGTTAGGAGTAGGTGAGGGCATGGGTTGATCGGGCTCAAACTCAAAATCGCCTGTTTGCCATTTCGCTTCGGGGTGGTACAGTACCTTCATGAGATCTTGCTTGAGATCGTTGTGGTGGCCCAGTGTCTGGTTGATGGTGATGAGGGTAGCTTTTTTGGATTCCTTCCCAGCTCGAAATGCACCGAGAACATCCCAAATCATGATGACTTCAGGCGAGTCTTCTCCAAATCGGGACTACAAAAATTAGCCAAGTTTACAGTCAGAAAGGTGGCGAGGTTAATGGAGGTCTGCTTATAGCAACGACTTACTCTGACATTAGCTAGGAATATGCTGACAAGTTGTCTGATAGCTGGTGATTGATACGGAGTGTGAGATTGGCCTCGCACGTCGCTATTCGGAATTCGATGCTCTGAAGTTTGCTGGCTCGGTGGTTGAGGTGCAGAGCGATAAGCTTCGCGCTCTGTCGAGGTCTCCATGTTGGCCTGACTAGGTACTGCAGCTACGCACCGATGGTCGTAACGCGCTGGTGGAGTTGTTTTCAATCCGACTTTTGTTTTTGTGGGTTGATGAGACTAGCTTTATGGCTGAGGCTCAGTATCTGAAGCGGTAAGTCCGGAAGTGGAAGGTGCGTTAAGGTGAAGTGAAGGTGAATTACATGTGAATCCCCATGCACACCGCTTTCCACAACAGAGTGGCGGTGACTCTATTCGATATTGAGTTTGTAGGCGGATACTTGCAGATGAAGTAGATTGTCTGTACAGTGTGTGTGTGACACGATTGGCCCCACTGGATGACAAAAGGCAGTCACGACGAGTGAGAGGAAGGCGCTATATCTGATGCCCGGTTCCCAAAGAGGAAAGGGGTCTTGGGGCAAACGGCTGCAGTACTCAAATTTTCATATCGTAGCGTCATTGGTAGCTTGATCGGAGTGAATTTGACATGAAAGAGACTGTTATTTTGTTGCATTGTAGTATCTGGGCGGAAGACTTGTAATCAACCTTGAGAGGCGATCAATCGACCCCTGTAGACTGTCCGGCGAGTATTCCCAGCATCATAAACAACCTCTACAATGCTTTTCCTGTACTGCCAGCCGCTGTCCGTTCTATCAAACATGAGAAAATCGGCAGGCTGTCCAGGCTGTAGAGTCAGATCTGTAGCTTCACATCCAATTGCAGTCTTTGCACGGGTAGAAACGGTTTCCTGCATACATGGAAATGATCAGTGGCAAGTTATAGGTAGATCACCAGGCTACTTACATATAACAACTCAGCATCTTTCTTTGTTCCAGCCTGATAGACTCCAACTCCAATCGCCGCGATAGCCTGAAGAAGCGATCAGTGTTGAGTATATACATTCATACGATACCATGCTCTTACCAAAGGATCGCAGTTACCATAGGGAGTGAAGGCGTTTCCCACGTTGTTAATAGCAATGGCAGCGTTGAAGCCATGCTCATTGATGAGCTCTATGATGGGCAACGTCCCACGTATGTTCTCCGGAGTCCGCATCATGAACAGGTCGGAAGTTGGAAGGCCAACAAAAGAGATGGGCAATTTGTCTACTTCTTGTCTCAGATGTGTCCACTCGTCGTTGCGGAACCTTGTCAACCTGGTACAATGTCCCAGCGCTATCTTTTTGCTGCTGTCCTTCTTATCCCATTTGAGCTCTCTGATGATATCCAAGACAGTCCAAACGAGAGGCTGTTTTTCTTCCTCGAGGAAGTAGTCGAGGTGGAGGTCTAGGTGTTTGTTATGTTCAAGGGCCAGTTGAGTGATCCATCGCACGTTTTCTATAGATTTACGCTCACTGTCCTCCACATACGGCGTGCTGCCAAGCACGTCTACTTTGTCATAGGAGGCAGCAGTGGTCATCAGTTTTCTTACTTGTGCACCTTCGTCTTGACCGGAAAACAATGGCAGCTGAGCGAATGCGCATAACTGCACCTCACACCGATCTTGGAAAAGCTCTTTCAGCTTCAGACCCGCGTGCAGACACTTCAATTCCACAACACCGTCGACTTCTACAAATGCCCGCATGGCGGTAACGCCGTGCTGGATGCTCTCCTCAATGAGCCGCGTGCCCCTCCTGAGCAGATCATCTTCGACGAACCGAGACTTGGCTTGACCGGTAATGCTCATGGCCTCATTGAAGTCGCCACTCTCAATCTGCAGGTCGCTGAACTTGGGGTCTTGGAGGAGAAAGCATTTGTCGAGATGGATGTGGGCATGGCACAGCGATGGCGCGAGCAGGCGGTTTTGTCCGTCCAGAGTGTTTTCGCTCTCCTCATGCGACGAAGCATCATTATGAGCATCTACGGAGGCTATCCTGCCGTCTTGGATAGCAATATCCCAGAGAGATGATGGTGGCTTATTTGGTATGCGAACGTTGATGATCTTGTTCAGTGGGCTGCCCGCTTTCTGTGTGTGCATCTTTACTGCCTGCTCACCCAAGGGGTATCCGAACAGGTGGGCTGGGTTCGGTAGATTTTAGACCGATGAGATGTAGAAAGCCAATACGATGACGTCCAGACGGACCCAGAGCATTCTTCTCACGGCTTCACCACGCAGACGTATGGGTCGCCAAGCACAATGCACGGGCAGTGAATGAAGACGACGTCTCGTGGCAGCGAAGCAGATTATGCGAGGCCCAGCTGCAGACGTCTTGTAAACAATTGTATTCGGGCTGAACAAGGCTGAAAAGGAACAAATGCACAAGGTCGGGGGCGCCTCTCTGGCTGGGCGGGGGGGAATGGTTGCCCCGCATGTCCATAGGGGGAGCTAATGGTGGTATCCGTGCAGCATGTGTTAACGTCCCCAAACCAACCTTGACGCGTCTCCAAAGACGTGACCATCCCTATCACCCTTCCATCTCCACTGACGCGCCCGCATCGCCAATTTTGCTGCCGTCCATTTTTTGCATCCTCTTTTCAACATGCAGCCGAACTACCAGGCACGGGGATATAATTATCCGCAACAGCACAATGCGGCCACGCCCTCACGCCGGCCAGGTAAGTCCCAGAGTGCCCACCACCGCTGCCACACGACGTCCCCATTGCACCCGCCGCCTGTCCCTGCCCTTGCGCCCCGAAGCCCTACAAGACGATGATTAGCAGGAACGACCTCGCTCACTTGTTTCGCAACCCAGGCCCCATTGTCCACCCCCAGCACCCGCCCCAGCAGCCCCAGTACAACACCAGCGCCAGCATGCAGGCTTCGCAGCGCGCCGAAGCAGAGCGCCGCGAGAAGATGCGCCGAATCGCAAAGAACCCGACCGACAAGAACATCCCCGAGGGCGTCGAGGACGTGTGCATCGGCGACGGCGTCGCCCGGTACAAAGAATTGCGCCAAGTCGAGCGCACACTCGACGCGACCATGATGCGCAAGAAGCTCGATGTCATGGATTCGAAGCACCACTCGCGAGCGTCGCGCTATGGAACCATGCGCATATGGATATCCAACACGGCCGAAAACCAGCCTTGGCAGAGCAGCGGCATCGACGCCGATGCTTTTGACTTTGAGAGCGAGAACAACGCTACGTACCGTGTCAAGATTCAGGGACGCCTGCTTGACGAGCAGGGCGACGACGGTCTAGAGGATGACGAGGACGAAGACAAGGATGCCGATGCCATGTACGTCAAGCCGAGCTTGTGACTCCAGCTCTGCGTGCGCCTTTTGCGCCTCTGAAGCGGCGCGCAAAAAACATTCACACGGATTGGGACTAACAAGCGACTAGGGATGAAGACGGCGCCCAGGCCGAGCGCAAGCCAGCCGCGAAACCCAAGCTCTTCTCGCACTACTTCACATCCATCAACATCGACTTTGACCGCGCCAAGAGTTTACAGCCCGACAACTTTACGCAGATCGAGTGGAAGCGACCCGAGAATCCGACGGCTAAGGAAGCCAATTTCAGCGAGCTCGAGTTTGAGCGCAAGGGTGACGAGAACATCAACATCACAATCAACCTCCAGCGGTACCAAAATCCCGAGGTCTTCCGCCTCAGCAAACCGCTAGCCGAATTGCTCGATACCGATGAGGAGGACCGTGCGGGTGTGCTGATGGGCATCTGGGAGTACGCAAGGTCGCAGCACCTCCAGCAAGAAGACGACGAGCGCAAGTTCGCCTGCGACGCTAGATTGAAAGCGCTCTTCGGCGGCCAGGACCACTTCTTCTTCCCCAACCTACCCCAGCTCATCAAGCCACACCTCACGACCCTCCCGCCCATCCAGCTGCAATACACGATCCGCGTCGACAAGGACTACATTTCCCCACCGGCCGACTCGGGTAAGCCGGCATCCCAACCGAGCGTATACGACGTCCAAGTCGCCCTGGAAGACCCCATGCAACCTCTCTTCCAAGACATCCTCCGCCGGCCTGATAGCATCCAGACGCTCCAAGAAATCCAAAAAATCGACGAGCAGCTCGTGCTCCTCATGGGTGCCATTGGCCAGTCTAAAGCTAAACACGCCTTCTTCACCAGCATGTCCAAAGACCCCGTTGCTTTCTTCAAGCGCTGGCTCTCGAGCCAGAAGCGCGATCTCGAGGTTCTGCTGGGAGAAGCTACGCGTGGTGGTGGCGAGGATGCCTCTGGCGAGGAGTGGAAACGTGGTGGTGCGGATGGGGTTTGGGGCAGTGATGTTGCAAAGGAGAGTGTGGCCTTGTGGCTTGCTAGATCGAGTATCAAGCCCAGGTGAAATTGATATTCATGAGCGGGGTGCTTTTGTCGTTGTTCGCCATTGTGTTGGTATTGATATTGGCATGGGTTCTGTATTTCCACAATTTTACTACTGGGGTGAGTTTTTTTATCAAGAAGGTAAAGTACGCCGAGACCAGGGGGAAAAATTAGGCCGATGAAGAAGAAGAAGATGATGAAAAGATGGCGTTTTTATTACACTCGATACCCGAAATATCCACCTTTTCTTCTACCAATCTCTTCTTCTTCTTGTCTAATTTATAACATGGTTGTGATGATTTGTTTATTTACATTGTCACGACTGTCAATTCAACAGATGGACATGAGAAGAGAGAAGAGAAGAAGAACAAGGGGTAAAAAACAACCATGGGTATTTGCAAAGTTATGTAATCCAGACTTCCCCTCAATCTCCTAGTCCTTCCTTCCCTTCTCCTCCCTATTGTTCTTCTTTCCACAGCCATACCTTCTGTACTTCCATACCCTCTTCATTCCGTACATGTGCCGCATTCCTCACCACTTTCGGAGAAAGAGCCATCGTATTGTCGGATCTCTCTTCTCCCCAAGTCCAACAAGGTAGAAAAACAAAACAGATAAAATAGACAAACTTCCCCAGACATGAGCGCGTACATCGTGTGCCTTCCGTAGCGTAATTAACTTCTTTTACGCTCATATGCGTCCAGCGAAACCATAGAAAAGGAAGAAAAAAAATTACATGAGCGGCGGGTATGGTGGTAGTGGTAGTGATGGTAATGTTGGGTTTGTCGTAGGTACCAAGTAGTCCTCCAGTTAAGACTGATCTGACCTCTTAACATTTCAGTTCCATCGCCAATCACAAACCACCATCACCTCCTCATCTATGTCTGCCGCTTCTTTCGTCTCAAAAATCGCGGGGTTGGAGGAATAGCATATAGCTTCTTCAGGCCATTGCCCGCTTTGTTTCCTCCCATTTTCCTTCTCTTCCTCTCCATCTCAAACTTCCGTATGAATGTAAAGAGAAAAACAGGTAGGGAAGGAAAACAGCATTTTGGCAGATTAGTATAAGCCTACAACGCCCAGATATCGCACACCTTTTATTCCTCTCCAGCCTCCGGGAAAAAAGGTGGATGGGTCAGGTGGGAAATATGCAAAATGTTGATGCAATAAAAAGTCAAGAGAGGAGGAGGGGGCCACGTATATAAAAGGGCCCAAGGCGTCGCAAAAGGTCGTTTGGTGAGAGAGAATGAGCATAACAAAAAGTTCATGCCCCAGGGAAGACGCCAATGCTGCGCCCGCCAAATAAAACATCGACGTGAATCGAAAGAGATGATGATGACGCAAGGGGACTCGTTCAATGGTTGAGGAAACAGAGTGAGAGAGCCGATAGTGTGTGATGCGTGCAAAATAAACAAAGAGTGGTGTTGTTCAGGTATTGCTGATGATGACTCGCGCACCTTCTTTACCCAGAACACCCCTCTCTTTGGCCTTGGGACTCCTGTCCCGGCCCTTCTTGCGACTGAGGAATCCGAGCATGCCGGATGGTTTCTCAGTTTGGGCGTTCTGTACAAGCGCGGAGCTCTGGTTAGCCATCTCGGTCCATGAACCAGTCTCATTGAGAACTACCTGTACACCTCCGCCCATGCTTGTGCTGCGTTGAGAGCCTCGCTGGCGGCTGTTCATAGGGCGGGAGAACGAGGGGGTAGGGACTTCGGAGCCATCGTGAGGGAAGTAGTCAACGTGCTCACCACGTTGCGATGTGGGTGAGCTGTTGTTGGCAGTGTGCTGCAGTACACTGGTGGGCAGAGGCGGACTGCCGTTTGGTGATTGTGTCGATCGTGCGGTAGTAGTGGAACGGGTGGGGTGGAGGTCGGTATCTTGAGACTTGGAATTGGCATAGTGACGTCCAGAGGAGTCGCCATGAGATGGCGCAGAGGTGGGGTTGTGGTCGGGTTGGCTGTGGTTGCTGGTTCGTGAGCCAGCGCCAGAGTCTTGAGGGTCAGCGACTGCTACAGCGGCAGGAGTCCGTTGATCGCCAGCTGTAGTGTAGTTGAAAGGCTCAAACAGCGTCTCAATCATCCTGTGCAGCTCGTCGGCGCGTATCTCCTGCTCGGTAGCATCTTCCTTGAGAGCTTCTCTTGGCTTCTGCCGGCGGGCACGGGCCTCAAGCGGCGCTTCCTCAAGCAGCAACTCCTCAAGATCGTACGTCGCATCGAAGTTGGTCTTATCGCTCGAAGGTATGAAGATCGGCTCAATCTCCTTGTGCTCGAGCGCATAAAAATCTATAGGCCGGAAGAAAGGGTTGTCAGTGAACGAATCAAATCCAATGGCGCCGATGCGCCTGCTTCGGTCCTTTTCCAACAGGGAGCTGATAGCATGCAAGCACGGCATAGAGACGGGCGGGCTCGTGACGGGATAGGTAGGTTCTCCCTTTGAGATTTTGGCGGCGAGAGAGTCGTGGCTGCTGGCTTCAAATGGCCGCTTGTTGTATATGCACTCGTAGAAGAGCACGCCCAGCGACCACCAGTCGACTTCGCACGAGTAGCCTTTGCCTTCGTATACTTCGGGGGCGAGATAGGCGAGTGTGCCCGATTTGCTCGTCAGCGGCTTGTGTGGTACAAAATCAGAGGCAACGTTCTGCACATGTCAGCAAAGATGAATGGTGAGGCGCATTGCAGCCGAGCTTACGAAATCTGCCAGATGGACATGTCCCTCGGAGTCTAACAGCACATTGTCTGGCTTGATGTCTCTGTGCACAATACCCTGCTGGTGTATGTAGCGCACCGCGCAACCAAGCTCTGCTATCCAAAAGCGGACAGCCTCTTCTGTAAACGTCTTTCGCGAAATGTGGAAGCGCAGATCGCCACCGTTCATTAGGTCCACGACAATGTATCTATCCTTGTCAGCCTGGGTCGGTGGAGGCAGGAGCGATGGCATTGGCCATACAGGTATTCAATGTCCTGGAAGCTGTAGCGTAGATTGCAAAGGAATGGATGGTTGAGATGCTCAAGCATGCGGCGCTCTCGGATGATGTTGCGGACGCTCTCCGATCGTACGACTGTAACACGAGGTCAGCATGGCTGGATAGCAGCTAGCGTGTGACGGCATGTACACACCTTCATCTTTGCGTATGTACTTGAGCGCAAATGTGAGCCCTGTATCTTTGCGCTCAACGATGCGCACCTTACCGAATGCGCCCTTGCCCACGACGCGCAGCAGGCGGAAGTGGTTGAGGTTCACTGTAGGAGATGTCAGTCGGGACTTGGAGGAGCCGTGTATGTGTGCCTGTGCCTGTGCAAGTGCTTGTGCGAGAGCGAGTTTCGCGTGCTTCAGATGGATATTCCCCGCGGTCGTTTCTTGTTTGTTTGTTTGTTTCTTCTTTTTTTCTTTGCTCGTCTTTTGCGTTCCCATGGTTCCGCACAGCTCTCTTTGCTCTCTCTCTCTCTCTCGCACACTCTCTGGCGCAGCACATTGTGGAATGGAGGTGATTACGCACCTTGGTCGGTGAAGACGACGGGCTTGCCGTTGTTCTGACCCATGAGGGGCTACAATGGCAGAGGAGCAGGCGGACAGGCAGATGCAGTGGATGTCTAGAGATGCATCAGGCGGTTGGAAGGGTAGTCCGGGCTGACTGGGGCGGCGTGGCAGTGGGGTGGGAGGGAGACTAGGCGGGGGTAGGAGTGAGGGATGCAGTCGGCAGGCACGGGGGGGAGTAGTGCAAGCTTGGAAGGTCCGCGGGCGAGGGCTCAGTTGAGATTATTAAGGCACAAGCAACAGCAAGCGGCGGTCGAAGGGCGAGTCGCAGCGATAATGAACAAGAAGTTGAAAGGAGGCCCGACGGGTTTGCAGGCGCACGTTTCGCAGGTCGTGGCCCAAGCAAGATTAGTGTCGGCAGGACTAGGGCGAGAGCACAGGCATGGGTTGCACGTTTTGAGTCGCATCCTTGCCCGCAGAAAGGGCAAGCGCGGCTGCTGCTCCCCTAGTCATGGCCAGCCACAGCAGAGCGAACCCACACTACTTACTCTACTACCCTACCTACCACACCCACGCTTCTATATAGTACATGTTACCATCTAGGCCTGGTCGTGACAACAACGACTATGCAGCAGTAGCAACGACATTATAACTGGGGACACTGCGTCATGGCGGTGTAGTATAGTAAAACGTACATACATATGCCATCTCCTACTTAAGTACATGTCCCGCCCGCTGCACCCAACGTCGGGGGAGAAACACTGGTGGATCCACTGCCCGGGTCGTGCCAAGCCAGTGAATACAAACACCCCCTGGCACGTCACGGGACTGGCTCCCAAGCATCACCCCTTTGCATCCACGACAACGGCAGACACGACGTGCTGCCTTCCCGTCTGATCTGCATGCGCTTATGGACCTACTCGTTCTATTGCGACACATGTCACACATCACTCTCGGTACAGTAGTATAGCATCCACGTATGCACACATGCATATCCCACGCCTCTTCACTCCCACTCCCACTCCCACTCCCCCGACACGACACGACACGACACGCCACGACACGCCACGCCACACTATCCATTGGCAGGCAGCCCATCCAGTTGCCTACTCTAGAGTACACCTAGCTCTGCCCTACCGACGTGCAAACTCCGGTGCTGGCCCCCATAGGCCTGCCCACCTGTAACGAGCGGCAAGTCTCGCCGATATTGTCCCCTCTCCTAACTCGGTCGCTTTGACGATCCACCCACGGCAAGGTGGAGCAACGCCCGATTGGGTCTCTGTGAAAGCTTCCAAACTTGTTCCATCCGCCTTCTGCAGCCAGCAACCGTATCCAGGTGCTAAGCACTCTCCCACTCCCACCCTACCGAACCGTCAGCTCACCACCCGTCACGGCGTCTCCGTAAGCTCTTGGCTACCTACGGCTGCATCGGAACATTGTGCACCAGATAGCCTCCATGGCGCCCCTTTGTCCCGCCCGCCTAGCCATGTCGTCTCTCTCGACAACAGCCAGAGAGGCGCACACAAGAAAAACGTGTCTTGTCAAGCTTCCCAC